ACAAACAGTAAGGGCATAAAATGAAATACGAAGGATCCATATCACTCCCTTTTCCAAAGAGAATGAACATGTTTTCTCGGGGATAGTTTTAGATATCATTTATACACTTTTAGTTCCTGGCATTTCCTGCTAGCTGGGCCTATTTACCACGATTCAACCAGACAGGTGTTTTATAAAACTTGCCTCAGAGGAGGGATGATATTAGAGATGACAGCTTGGGAAACAAACAAATTAGATTTGCTTCTTAAGTTTATGAATTTCAAAAGGCTAGGCCTCAGAGGGAAAGCAGGGTCTCGTGTACCCAGAAATTTTAGGGGAAAACATATGAGGGGTGAAGCTTCCTAGCTGGGGAGACGGGCGAGGCTTCCCTGAGTTGGGGTGATGAGAGCATAGTGAAGACTTGACAAGGGGAGTGGTCAAGAAGAATCCTTGCACAGGAGCAGAGTTGGCGTCCAGAGACACCACCCTTCACCACTGTGAGCACTGCCTGTCACCAGTCTTCATTCAGGTGAGCCTAATACAACAGTCACCAGAAGAATGTGTTAGTTTTCCTTTCCATTGGTGGCACACCACCATCCAACATCCAGCAAGAAAGGTTCCCACCTGTGTCCTGAGAAGGGCCTATCTTGACCCTGTTGATGGCAAGGACATGTGCCGCCAACCCCCTGGATCAATGTTTGTAGTAGTGGTGTGACAGGGAAGGACCCAGCATCTGTGTGTATGTAGGACTGAATGAAGCCAGCTTGAGACTCACCCCCTTCCTTCTGAGCCAGTAAAATGGAAAACACTATTTGATTGATGCCCAAATGATGCACTCTAGCTCTCTACTTGTCTCTCCCTCCCCTTCTCCTCTCCCTCTCCTTCCCTCTCTTTCTTTTGAATATCACTGTCTTGCACTTTTGTTTGAGGTAACCTTAGGACACATCCTTAGACATAGAATTACTGTACCAAAAGGTATGTGCATATAAACAAAAACAAATGTAAATATTGACAAGCTGTCATCTAAAATGTTTGTATCTACTTGAATCTCATAAGTTATTTACCCATATTCTCTCTAACACTGGGTATTATCATCTTTTTACATCTTTGCTAATCTGATATATGAAAAATATAATCTATTTTAGAATTTTTCTTGCCCGCATAATGACTAAAAATCTCTTCTGTATTTTGTTTGTACCTATTGAGTAGTGCAATGAAAATATTCTTTCTTGAGGGTAGGGACGATCTTATATTTACTAAGCATCCATTATGGGTCTAGTTGACTAAACTGAATTAGACTAAAACAACATATACAACAACAGTGTTTGGTACCAGAGAATGTGACAGGAAAATATAAACATCAAAAATGTTAACAGTAAAATATTTTCCCATGGCAGAACTAGTTTTGAGTGGCTTTGGCTCCTGATTAATAGGATGAATTAGCTGCAAAATGTACCCTCAGGTAATTGAATAAACTGAGGTGTTCGCTAGAGTTATCTTGACTTTTGCACTTGAAAATTGGAGATTATCAGCCAAAAATAATTTTGGTTTTGGCACCATTAATAATAATCTGTTCTCCCCAGCTGGTGTGGCTCAGTAGGTTGAGCATCTGTCCCATGCACTAAGAAATCATTGGTTCAATATACTGGTTCAATTCCCGGTCAGGGCAGATGCTCAGGTTGTAGACTCAATCTCCAGTAGGGGACATGCAGGGGGCAGCCAATCAATGTTTGTATCTTTCTCTCCCTCTTCTTTCCTCTCTCTCTAAAATCAATAAAAACATATTTTTAAAATCTGTTCTCTCTGGAAGTACAATAATTAGAAATCTGCTCAGTGTCTCCTTAATGTCACTACTGATTTGTGACCGAAAACCATGATACCAGCATTAACAATGACACCTCCTCAGTTGCTATGGGACAAGGCAGCTGTGATAGGTGTTTATTCTGGAGTTGAAGAAGGAGCTATGATACAGCTCTCTTGTATGGTGTGATTTTAGATTAGAATACTATCTGCCTAAAGACAATTTCAACTCTCTGTCACAGAGCTGTAAAAAAATGCAAATTTTATAAAAGCTTTGATAACACTGGATTTATGCTATGCTTTTACATCTGGGTCCACAGACGAGCTGATGAGAGATGGGAAAAAAATGCTATAAATACTAGCATGTTCCAAAAACGCTTCTCAAATTGTTTTAGGAGGTAAGCTGAAAAAGGTGTTCCATAATCAGCCAAACTCCAGGATCATTGTTTAAGAAAGTGAAAGAGGTTTCTTTACTGTGAGATCTCAGGGTCTTTAATACAGCAAGGTACCTGGGAGAGAGTTTTCAGTGTGTCCCCAACTCCTTTGACACCGGCACCCAGTTTCCTATGGTGAAAGTATGTTGTTTTCCAGCCATCCCGGATCCACTTTTCTTTCTTAAATCTGGTGGGGCTCTGATCAGGGGCCCTACCCTACCCTAGCTAAGGGACCAGGTAGTGCTCCAAGTTAAGACAACTGAAAGCTGGAATCTGAATTGGGAGGATCAGAAGGCAATCTATTGGGGTTCACCCATTCCAGCACGAGAGGCGTCCGATGATGACATTTCTGTCCCTACATTATCCTGCTGTCACTGCTGCTGGGCTCTCTGGAGTTGCTCTAACTCCTGCTGGCTTCCTAGCCTGGGTATCCAGGTGGGCTGCCCATCAATGCCCAGAGTTCCTGTTATTCTTCCATCAAATTCCTTTTTGCTTGAATTGGGTGGGGTTTTCTGTTGCTTTGCAATCAAAGGACCCACACTTTTTCTTTCCTAGTTTACCTGTCATTTAACACTACATTGGAAGAGGGACATCTACTTATTGACAACTCAAAGCCCTATATCAATAACACTGCCAAACACAATTCTAAGAACTTGGAAAACTTTTCTGTTGAACAAATGACTAGCATTCCAAAGAAGATATTTTGGAAAGCATTGTGTAAAGCTATTTTCTTAATAAGGAAAGACTGTATGTAATGATACTCAGGAGAGCAATCGTGCCTAAAATCTATTCGCTCCTCTAGTAACAGAGTATATCAGAAAGCATGCTTGAGTTTTGATGGCTGGTTAACAAACTATGAAGTCACATACTTTAGAGAAATAAACATTTTTAAAATAAAAAACAACAACAATTATACTTTAAATCAATCTGATGAAGTCATTTAGAAAAAAAGGTGCTCTCTCCAAACTAGACATTTTACTAGACATTTAACATACATTTTCTTATTTAATCCTCAACTTCTATGTGTCAGTCAGCAATATTTCTTGGGCCTCTAATATGTGACAGACATTGTGCTAACACATAGGAAAACAATCATGAACAAACAGACTCAGCTGGGGCAGTAAAGCCATTCTACAGTTACACAGATGGTGAGTTGGTGGAATAAAGATTTTTTTTGTGTGTGTAAATACAGTATATCTTTGCTCTTTCTGTTTAACTGCATTTAATAGTAGCTTTTATTTATTCTAAACAAATAGATAATCTAGTCAATGTAAATGGGTTTCCGATTTTAAGGACAGTCACCGTGGTAACAAATGCTTTATGAATCTTAAAGGAGTGTTTTATTGACACCAACCATTGCCAATATTTTGGGTTCTAATGTGCTTCAACATTTGGTCTTCTGGTATAACACAGCATCCAGTGAAAAATATCCAGTTGCCTATGAAAAATTCTAGAAAAACACCACCTAATGTTTGTGGTCAGTTGTTTGTCATTCTTCCCCTGCTCCTATCTTGGTGTCTGGGGCTGCCAGATAAAGAAGGTCCCCAGAGTCCTAAGGTCCAAACCTCAAGACTATGCAAATGAAGCCATCCATGGAAGCCAGACAGACAAGCCCCAAAGGGTGAGTGTGGGGTGCAAACAGCCCCAGAAGACCTGTATGTCTGAAAATCGAAAAATTGCTGAACCATTGATTTGAGACTAATGAGAATGTTGAGGACATTTCAGAATAGATCAACTGTTCTAGCTTAAGTGTGGAAGAACACCAACCTCCAGGATATGGGACTTAACTTTCTATGAAATAGCTTCTTTGTGGTAGATTAAACCCTGAACTTCTACAAATAGAGTTTAATTTAGAGTTTTATCTGACTAGTGGCTTAACTCTACATAAGACCAAGGTCTTAGACTTTTCATTTCAAAAGTGGAATATGGTGTATTTTTTAACCTATCAAAACGATCCACTATGCTTAAGTGTTTCCAAGAATATTTTACACAGGAATGATATGAAAGACTCACAAGTGGCACAAGAGTGGGCCAGGCCCTGCAATTTAGTGGTGGTGTTTGTTTGCAGTTTTAATGCTTTATTAGCTATAACCACACATTCTCCCTCATTTCTCGGGTTCAAGACCTCCATCCATCCCTGGTGATCCCCTGTCATTTCTTAAAGTTACTGTGATGCGTTCTTGACAGTCCCATAAAGTCTGCTGTGCTAAGGACGCCCGGGATGTAGCTCCTGCAAAGCGGCCGGTAGGAAGAGGGACATTTTGAACTTTACGTTAGTTGGGTCTTGGAGAGGGAAACAGGACTAGGGTTCCAGGCACACCACGTTGGGTTCACAGCATCTGTTCCCGCAGATTTCTTGCCAACCCTGGGAAGAGTGGGAGCAAGCAGGCTGGTTTCCCAGGTCTCGACTGCCTCCAGAGGGGCCTCAGCTGAGGCTGTGCATGTGACCCAGCGTCCCGCAGCGCAGGTGTCGGAGAACCGGGGTGCGGGGAGGAACGGGACTTCCGGGGCCAGCGGGCTCGCTCCCCGGCTCGCCGTCGGCACCGGAATGGGGAATGCGCGGCGTGCGCGCCTCCCGGGCGGCAGGAGGGCGGGGAGCGTGCGCGCGGGCTCGGCGGCCGAGGGCGCGGGGGCGTGCGTGGTGGCTCACCCGGAGCGGGAGGGGGCGGAGCCGCTAGGCGGCCTGAGCCCGCCCTGGGGTTGGCCGAGTGCGTCTCTAAGCTGACGCGGCCGCCTGGGGCTGAGCGAGCCGGACGTGCCACCTGCAGTGCTGGCTGCTGATGTTTCTTTACTAGGAAACATTGTTTCCCCGCGGGAGAGTTCGGGAGCGCGCGGAAACGCGCGCGCGCACACACATTCACTCATTGACACACACACGCTTACACACACGCGCGCGCGCGCGCGCGCGCTCCTTCTCAACTGCATCCCCAAACCCGCAGAGCGAAGCAACTGCGATTTCTCTTAACCCAGCATCGTGGGGCGAAGCAGAGCCATTGTGCATCAGGGAAAGCCCGGTGCCTGAGCTGCTGCCTCGGGTACATAGCCCTGCAGACCGCTCACCCCATCGGGTAAGTCAGTCTCTCTCCTTGTAACCTGTTCAGGGTTGGTGCCTGCAGACCGGAGGGAGAAGGTGGGAGGCTGCAGGTGCGCCAGTGGGGATGAGACCGGAGTTGATTGAAATTTCAGGGGCTTGCAGCCTCTTCTAGCGTCGTCTAGCTGGAGCAAGTACTACTCCCTGTTACTTATACTACCATCCTGGGAGTTGCTACCCCCCTCCCCCCTTCCCCCAGCCCAAGGTATACTGTGCTCCTTGGTTGCCAAGGAGACTTCCTTAAACATCAGCCTTGGGACATCTGTTGAAATAACTGGTTTCTTCAATGGTGCTGTTATTTATTTTGATTTTTTTTAAATAAAAAATATACAATGAGGACCATGTGGTAATTTGACATTCGTTAATCTGTATTCAGGCGACGGTTTCATTAAATTTAAGAAAAGTGATAATTGCACTATATAGTGTGCTTTAAAAAAGATTTGTCAGATGAATTTTTCAAGGATGTGTCTTGAATTATAAATTACTCCCATTTTGGTGATCTTATAAAGAACGCTGATTCGAATTAAAATCCCTTCTTCCTCTCTGTTTCTGCACTGTATTTTGCAGTTCATTCAGACGAGATTATCTTAACATTGAAAGCAGATGAATTAATTGTGGTTCCTCACACAAGGATGATCTTCTGTAGTAAATTGACCAGAACAAGAATACATATGTAAAATTCCTAATGTAAGAAGGTAGCATTCATAACATACATCTTTGCTACCATCTCTATATACACTGCAGTATTATTTTAGTGCAGTTTACTGAGATTATGTTTTCTTTCAAGTCTCTTATTAATTTTTGGCATATATCTATATGTAGATAGATATAGATGTAAAATGTGTGGCATGGCTTAATACTCCAGATTCTAAGTGTTTGGAGCTCATGTAAAAACATAGAGAGGAAGGACACACAGAGAAAGCTTTATAGTCCCTGTTGGTTTTTTCTGATAGATCGGGTCCTTTACTGGAACACTGAGTGAGGCCCAAGGAGGAGGCCAGTGCTCTAATCTCAGAGGATCTCCTGATCCCTGGGCTGTCAGTTTTCCTGGAGGCCTCAGGTGCCTAGTGGGTGAGTTTGTAACATGGCATTTGAAGAGGTCAGCAATCTGGTAATTACACTTTGCAATAATTTCATACCCTCATCACAAACAGAAATGACCTAGTAAATATCCTGTAGCATTTTGTTTTTCTTTTATATTTGTTCATCTTTTCTTCCTTTTATCACGTGATGTAAGGATATATATAAAAGTCTTCGTATTTAGACTTTAAACTGTGTCATACATAGGGTATCAATGTAAGGGTCAAGGAAGCCAATTATAACAGGTAGGTAGAGGGGATTTATACAACTGAAAGGGGGCTAAGAAATGAATAACAAACATTTTACGTTACAGTTTACAAAGTACTTTTCATGTACTCCTTTTTAAATCCCATAACAAGGAATTATCTTAATTTTAAAGCTGAAGGGGCTGAAACTCAGCCTGCTGAAGTCCACAGAGCTAGTGAGTGGGATCCAGCCCATTTTTTGGCTCCCATTTTGGAAGTCGTTTTTGGATCCAGTCTCTTTGCCTTTAAAAAGTATCCTGTATTGCATTTCTAATGAGAGCAAGGGTCTGGCAGGTGAGATGAAGGAGTGGAGCATCCCGGTGCGAGACACATGAAGGGAAGGGGATGTGGACTTGAGCTTCTGGAAAGTGAAAACCACAATAAAGGGGGGCAGCTCTGACTGTAGCTGGTTGCAGCCACAGATGTAAAAATTCTTTTGCAAGGAAAACCAAAGTTTCCAGATTTTGTTATGTGGTATGTCCTTAATTTTAAAAAATGTAAAGACCATGTTATAAATGTATCTGGGCCACACGTGGCCTGTGGTCTACCAGTTTATAATCCATAACTTCCAAGCTCACTTTGAAGCTATTTTTCTCTAATAAAATATTGATGTAAACACATACATTCATCATTATAAGAGTGACTAGGAGTTTTCTGATTTTGATATTAAAACCTCTAAAAATGCTTTTTGATTTTGATGTTAAAATCCCTAAAAAAAAAAAAAAAAAAAAGAAGAAGTGCTCTACGTCTTTTCTTCAGTAAACAGTTCTAAGTTTGTTTTCGAGGCTTCCTAGGTCCTCTATCTCATATCTCAGAGAAAATAAAAGAGCATGAAGTGCTCCAAAATAGGAACTTCTGAATCCGGTGAAACAAAAGCATTTATAGTTTAAAGTTTATATTGTTCCTGCCTTAATTTTTGTTCTGGGCATAGGACTAAAAAGTATAGTAAGAGTCATTTAAAGGAAGAATGGAATAAAAAGTTGGTCATAAAAAGGAGCATCCCGACCCTTTCGATGAAAACTTTCTTTTTAGTTTTTAGGTAGTTAGAAGCCACCACAGAACACTGCAACACTCCAAAGAACGAAAACATAAATGGGAACTCAAAGGGACATACTCCTTAAATAATCTTGCAATGAAGTGAATACCTTTTGAGAAGCTGCCTCTTTCTCATATTTCTACTAAAGCTGTGGAGATGTCAGTAGATTTCTCTGAAGCATACCTAGTGATCAGACAGGAGGGAGGGGGCAGGAAGAGATTAACCAAAGAACATATATGCATATATGCATAACCCATTGACACACACAGTAGTATGGGGTGAGATGGGGGCTGGGTGGAGGGGATCAAAAGGGGGGATACTGGGGTACATCTGTAATACCATCAACAATAAATAAGATAAAAAGAAAGGAGTGTTATTTTATTTACTTTGTTTCTCTTGTGGATCCAAAGAGGTGCCATTAAAAAAAAAAAAAAAAGCCAAGACAGGGACTTCTAATATTCATATTCTAAAATCACCCTCTGAAGAATGCTTTAATAATAAATAAATGCATTTCAGTTTTCAGTTCATGAAATGTGTTGCACCCCTAGTAAAGAGCTATGCAGATGTTAGTCAATAATAATGTAACATGGTCCTGGCTAAGCTCTGGAGGTAACATCTCTGCCCTCAAGGATTCAGAGCAAACACACATACTGCTCCTGGAAGCTTCCACTTTTCCAGCCCCTTCTACGTACAAGCTACTTTCCATATCATTTTCATAGCATCCCTATCAGTGGGCATCTTATTTCCATTTTACAGGTGAAGAACCCAAGTCTATGTGAAGTTAAAATGGATCAATGAAAGAAAACTTTAAACCTCAGTAGCTCCTCTCACTTCACACACATCCTTCTCTGATGGTTACCTAATGACAGCTATAGACATGGATAGAATTGTGATTTTGAGGTAGTTGTGTGTTAAATGATATACAGATAACAATAAAGCACAATACAGGGAAATTTAAAAAGATATTCTGATTGTAGAGATCAGGTAAGTCCTGTGTAGGAGGAGGATTCGTGCTGGACTTGGATGGCTGAATCAGATAATATTACATGATCCCTTTAGCTGTGGTAAGACAGGAAACACTGCCAGACAATCAGCTGGAAATGTGAGTTGAGAGGATGATGCATAAGATACCTGATATTGATGAGCTCATCATTGTAGCCAAAGGGATGACCAGACCATGAGAAGAAATATGTTCCCCAAGATGGACTGCAGCCCGAAGATGGAACTGGGGCTGTTTTGGAGGGGTAGAAAAAGACAAGTTGGTGAAGGATACTAGGAGGGGAGCTGTAGACACAGAGGAAAATCTAGAGAGTATAGTACTGAGTCTTCTAAAAGACTGAAAATAAATGGCAAGGGACAAATCAAGCATTATATTCTCTATACAGAGTCTGATATACGGTAAATACCCATGAACTATTATGGTGTGCCTGTATTCTTATTTTTATTAAAATGTTTTTTCTTTATTGATTTTAAAGAGAATGGAAGGGAGAGAGAAAGAGAGGGAGAGATAGAAACATTGATGAGAGAGAACATTGATTGGCTGCCTCCTGCATGCCCCCCCCCCCCCACTGGGGATTGGGCCCACAACCTGAGCATGTGCCCTAACTGGGCATCAAACCCACAACTTCTTGGTGCATGGGTCGACGTTCAACCAATGAGCCACACCGGCCGGGCATGTGTGTCTATATTCTTAACATCCAACATCTGGCATGTAATTTTTTCTTTTGATATCATTTTTCTGTGGAAAGGGAGCCTACATATATATTTTACATGAAGTCATTTGAAGTGGACAAATATCTGGATTTTAAAAATTGGGGAAAGAGATTCTGCGAAATAGATGAAAAAGGAAGACTATATCAATGTAAACTTTTCTTATAAGGTCATACATGGACTTAGAGGTTAAGCAGGCTCTTACACATAGAGATTTTATTGTTGGTACACAGTTGATGATGTCTCATCTGTGGGACAATTGAGGAGAAATGTAAGCTATGTGTTAGCTATTTGAACATCTATATTTAAACTCAAAGGGAAGTCTTTGGTGACAAATAAATGGACTCTACTTTTGATCCTGATTGGGTCAACATTTTAATTACTTGAATGGAAATATGACAAATATGACAAGCCAATGGAAGTTAGACTTGTATTCAAGTACTAGACCTGCGATGACCGGTTGGGAGGGCTGCCTGTTAGGACAATGGGCACAAGGGAACAGGATGAAATAAAGTAGAAAACATGTCCTAGCTAGCTAGAGTCTAGCACTGAGGACATTTGGTGTGACAAGAATTTGCTTTAAAGTTGGAGGGATTTTATCCCATCAAGTATAATGCAGTAGTCCCCCATTACCCATGATTTCATTTTCCACGCTTTTAGTTACCTGCGGTCAACCACGGATAATATAACAAAATCCTGGCTGAGCTCTGGAGGTAATGTCTCTGCCATCAAGTTAGAAAATATTAAATGAAAAATTCCACTAATAAATCATTCATAAATTTTATATTACACACCATTCTGAGTTGTGTGGTGAAATCTCACAGTGAACCACTCCATTCTGCCTGGGACATGAATCATCCCTTTGCTCCGTGAATCCAGACTGTATATGCTACCTGCCTGTTAGTC